CATTCGTACCAAGTTCCATATTAAACTCTATTCGTGCAGACCGAACCGAGTATACACTCTAGTATACAGTTCGAAAAAGTTTGTTGGTCATTTTTTAGACATCAACAATTATTTAATTATACTAATAATATAGATGATAATAATGTTGAGTTAAAGTTGAATTAAATATGAGTTTTGATTGATTTTTTTTTTTTTTGGTTAAGTTCATAACTAATCACACCCTAACTTACCTGATAAATTATTTACTTGAATTGACGATGAGTAGAGTTGGTAAACGAAAAAAACTGCTCGTGAACTTAGTTCGACTCATTAAGATTCGAGTTTGGCTTAGCTCGTTCGACAAACGAGCCTAACACTCGTTTGATAGTCGTTTAGTTAACGAGTCAAGCCGAGCCGAACCGAGATAGAAATTTTTGTAAGTACAAGATGGTTGATATAAAGTTGGTGGTCAATCAAGTAGTTCAAGAGATTCAAATCATCATTCATGATACATTCTGCGAATGATTGGTTGTGAACGAAACCTTTTAAGTGGCGGCAATTGTCGAAAAGTTGTCTCTTTCGTGGAAGGACTTTGAAAGTGAATACGATTTTTTAATCGTATTTAATATAATTTATTTTTATTTTGCTTTTCTAAATATAGTAAAATATCTAAAAAATAATATTTGTATATGTTATTATTTTATTTGATTTTATTGAATCCTATTCTGAACAGGTATTTTGCTTGGAGAGGAATTTTGGCTAGGAAAGGAATCATAACAGTACAAGAAAATATCTAACAAATAAATATAAAGGAGCAGACAAGCTGTGAGAGAACGAAGACGCACGCACTCATGCAATTTTGATTGAAGAGCTTAGACTGCAAATTTCATATTGAGAGTGCAAGGATGGAATCAACAATAGAAGCTGATTAGAAATTTCTTCGTGTTGCATACGATACGTGAAGAAGGTCAACACGATTCATCCCAAAATCATCCGAAGCTCGTATTTTTTCACCTATTCATCCGATATTTTTTTACTATTTTATTTACTTTTATTTTATTTTATGTAGGGGGGTTGTTTGTCTTATTTTCGTTGTTATTTTCGTTATTGGTTTGCTAATACTTTTCCCCGTTTTTAGTGTTAGTGTATATACTAAAAGCTTGGTTTTTTTGCATTATTTACACTATTTTTTGTTGAATCAGAATCATGTTTAATTAAACATTTTTATATTCTGGTGTTTTACATTTGGATAATTATGGTTCATCACGGATGGATAGAAAATCATATTATTGGTTACTTGTAAAAACATAAATAATTAGTTCACAACCTAGTTGAAAATGAACAACTCATCGTAAACGGTTGTAGTATAATTCAGATAGGTTAGTCTTGACTGATGATTTATGCTAGTACATCTCGACTAAACTAAGTTATTCAATTCAAAATTTTGAATTTTGGTACGATTGTCCTTCTTTACTTTTAAAAACTCGGTTATATCAATTCGATATTGTTTTTGTTTTTTATTATTATTATTGACATAACCGAAATATTCGGGTGACCAAACAATATATTTGACATTTTCTTTAGGTAACATATTATTCATTTTCAAACAAATATTAAATATAAATATTGATTATTAATTATAATTGTATTAATTACAAATTTGATCGATGAATTATTTAAATTTTTTAAATTGAGAGCTATTCCATCATTGGGACATCACCAAAACACTTTGTCCGAATCACTTTCATGAATTAAATAAATAATGATATACTAAAAAAGAAAAGTCATGCAACTAACTAAAAACGGGGTTATATTCACTCATTGACTGTTTATATTCAGCTGTTGGCTGCGTATATTCAGCTGGTGGCTGTATTTTGCACATTTGTGCTTTTAATATATAAAATCTCTATCGTTTCGAAAAAAAAAAAAACTAAAACAAAACAAAAACTGAATTGAGATGAGTTGGTTGATTTGATTAGATACGTTNCTTGATAAAAAAAAAAAAATAAAAAAAAAAGTCAAAAAGTGGAAAACATTGCAAATCAGAAGATTTGAGAAGGTAGGCGAAAGGTCTTTTCGTTTCCGCCTAACTTCTATTCTTTATATATTTTTCTTGCAAACAAGTCCTTAATACTTATTAAATTTACAAACTCAAGCCTCTCATTTCAAAAAACCATAACACTCCATCTCCCCCGGCCAGTCATCCCGTCGCCGCCAACCACTGTTGCCCAAGGCTCGACGCAATCTCCGGCTGCAAACTTCACGTCCACCATGACAGAGGTGCGACAACCACGATTCCATCTGTTGGGATCTATGAGGATCTCGTTATGTACAAATTACGAATTCAATAGCAAATGTAAACCTATGCACAACGGATCTAAAGGTTTGACGTAGAAAACTTACGGCTTAAAACTTTTCTGAATATGATGGATTCGGGATGATCAGGAACAGCACACAAACAGAACTGGATCACACGAACAGGATGGCAGGGTCGGTCGTGTCGCACGATCGAGGTGGTCGTGTCGCGTGCAGGTGCGCCGGTCGGGTCGGGTCGTGTCGCGATCGGGTGGCCAAGTCGCGGCGGTGCTCCGGCTGGATCGCGGCGGCAGACGGCTGGTCGGGTTGGCGGATCGCGGCCTTTGGGTCGTGGTTCGTCAACTCCTTGTAGATGATCACCGGGTCTTGAATACCTTTGGATCTTTTACTGTATTACTCACACACCTCTTCAACTTGTACCGGTGGAGCAACAAGAAGAAGATAAAGCTCGAGTGAGAACTGAGAGAGATAGAGAGGAGTGCACGATACACGTTAATTATGTGTATCTCTCTTCTCATGAGCTTAATGATGTATATATAGAGCTACAATAGGGATCTTTAGGAGATTAGGAATAGAGCTTCTTAAGTAATAGACTAACTATAGGCCAGACCCACTTTTCCAATTACTTAAATAATATTACGGTCCACTAACGTAATATTATTGCACTCCTTTTTTCTAGCCCAAATTATATTTGAGGCTCCAATTATAATTACTCGAATTACCTTCCCATGTTTAAAATATAATGACCGTTAATTAATTCGATTACTGACAATAAAAAATTAATTAATTTATTATTTATTTCACCAAAGCTAGCGCTCGTTCATCACATTATTATTATGCCGGAACTTAATCCACCAGCAGGGTTTAGCATAACAATCCTTCATGAATTCACTTCGGGGACATCATCAAACTAACGCTCATGGTGACCGTAAATATACTAACAACACATTATACATACAACAATATTACCCAAGACAGTAGGAATATTAATCCAGCGAACTGAACCTCACCCAGGTGATTCAAAGTAATATGTACTGCTTGTATATGCCTGTTTAATATCTTACGAGTTAAGAGAACGCAGTAATTAACCGAGGCCTAGTTCGTTTACGACGATCAGTATAAAACGAACTTTTCCTCTCTGGGATCATGTTCAATACATAAATTTACTAGTGCAACTGATCAGTCAAGACAAACTATACTGTTGACACTACAACAGTTCAGATGGGGTGTTCATTTCCATCTAGGTTGTGAACCATAATTCTTGTTTCGCAAGTAATTGATAGAATGATCTTTTGTTCGCTCGATGACGACCCATTCTATCTAAGTGCAAAACAACATAACATAGAACTTGTTTAATCTAACATTATTCTCATTCATAAAAGGTAAAAGTGTTAATATCATCTAAAGGCAAGCTTTCAGTATATAACACTAACACCATCGTCGCCGCCGCCGCCGGAGCCTTTTAGCCCCGCCGCAGCCGCCTGAGACCCCTGCTCAATAGTCGTCGCCTCCTTTGACCTGAAACGCCGCACTCTCCTCCGCCCTTCTCCGCCCGTTGCCGTCGCCAACGCGGTCCCCGGCCCAGCTCCACCACTGCTCCCCTCACGGACAGCAATGCACCATCGCTCAGACCGCCACCGTCCTGCCGGCCACCTCCACCTCATACACGACGACTGCTTCAATGAAGATCTGCCGCCTCGCACACCGACGCTGCCAGTCACGCTTACAACGAAAATGACCGGTCGACAAGGACTACCCAGACGCTGATCTCTCCAGTTCTATTGACGGAGGTGGCGGCTTGTGGCCGAGGACGTCGTCTTCCTCAGAACATGGTCACCGGCCTGTAGTTTGTGTGTGTCTGTGAGTTTCTGTGTGTCACTATGTGTGTAGGTGGGTAGTGTGTTTTTTATGTGTGTGTGCAGCATGGGTTGTGTGTGAGTGTGGTAGAGATAATTATCTTAATGTGAGTGGTTGGGGTGGGGTCCCACTATGAGATTCTGATTTGAATTCCCTTAATAAGTGGTCAAATGTATATATTTGACTACAATATGACCACTTAATTACGATATTGCCATAACATGCTTGACTGACATTAATAGATTTTAACTTGATCATGTCATTGGTTTGATGGATCTAATGATTTATAATTATTCTCATTTTTTTTCACTATCCATTTTTTCTCATATTATTCCTTTTATATATATATTTATGAGTGAAAAACTGATTGGATTCGACCAGTGAAACTTGTAGCTTCATTGTTGATCCAATTTTGAAAACCACGCAAATACCAAGGGTGTGCTTGCTTATGAAATATTTCATTCAAAATGAATTATTTTAGTTAAGTAGAGTTAATTTTAAAAAAGGTAGTATGATTAATTGTTAGCGAAATTTTAATAATATATTAAAATAATATTTAAATAAAATAATTATTAATGATTTGATGTAAAAGTAGGATATAAATGATTGGAAATGATTGAAAATGATAGGTAGTTAAAATTATGTGAGTGAATGAATAATGAATTAAAGTTGATGTGATATGTAAGAATGATAATTTTATGATATTTAATTATATAAATAATAAAAATAATAGTGGAATTGAGTTAAAGTTGAGTTAGATTTTGCAACAAACATTCCATAAACAATTAATAATTATGAAAAGGCTAAAATATGTCAAAGTGAATTTTACTCAAACAAGTGGAACAAATATTGAATTAACCAATTGTAGGCCTTAGACAGAGTCGCACAGTAACACTAGGGCGGGTCACATAAACCCAGATTTGAACTGCCCACTGAAAATTCTTCTCAGATTCACAACCGTAGATTGGATCAAGATGATGACCTGAAAATAGCAGATCAAACCGAAGACTTTCCCTGTCAGAAAGTCCAATTTTTTTTATCAAGAGATACGAACATATTCAAAGGGTCTTTTCCGATTGTCGATTCAGATCCGATAGGGGCTTGGAACTGACGGCGGGATGGCCTCCACCGTCCGATCTTTCTGCATCTTCATCTTCTTCTTCTACACCGCGTTCCTCGTGTCTGTTGCTTTCGGCAAGGTGATTGATTGGTTATTATGTTGCAGGGCTTCTGAATTTCTCCTTTTTTATTCGATGGATGCCTGTAGATCTTGTTTTTATGCGAACGTCTGTAAATTTTACTGCACTTGGGTTCCTCGTGATGCGTGATTTCTGTTGCTGATGTCTCATTGTTGATATTGCTTTGTTATGTTTACAATTTACTGATCGGGAATATGAGGTTACATATGTTTGTCGGCTGAAATTTTGATAGGGAAGAGTAGACATTGACTTTATGTTTTGATTATAGCTATATGCTAGTAGTTTGTTACTTGTTCTACTCTCTTACTGTTGATCATCCAAGGTTGCAACAAAGTTTTATAAAGCTTGGAATGAAAATGTCAGAATACTAAAGGGGCTGGCCTTTGATTCGTCTTTCCTTCTTTTTTTGGTCATTAAATTTTGTGGATTCGACCGGTCAAAGAGTATGCTTGGCATCTTATTGCACTAATTTTCTTTCACAATGATTGTCCAAATCTCGATCATTTTTCTTTACTTTATTTCGTTGTGCATTAAATTGCAAATTTTTTCCTTGTCTGATTATGAGTAATGTCTTTTGTTTTATGAATGGATGTGATTTGCATGGGTTTCTTCAACATGTCATGATTTTTAGGAACCTGATCATCCCATGCAAAGAATTTAATGTGTGTTAACTTTTCAATAGTTGACGTTATTTCATTTACCTGCAGTATGAAGCTGATGAGACTGTCACTCTGTGGGTGAACAAGGTTGGTCCGTATAATAATCCCCAAGAGACCTACAATTACTACATTCTTCCATTTTGCCACGCACCTGGCAACCCTGCTCACAAATGGGGTGGGCTTGGTGAGGTTCTTGGAGGGAATGAGCTCATCGATAGCCAGATTGAAATAAAATTCAAGAGTAATGTGATTTTACTGCTTATGTAAAGCTTACTTGTTTTATTTTCCTGCGACATTGTACATTATATGTGGTTAATCTATTTTGCAGGAGATGTGGAGAAGACTACGGTCTGTGAAATTGAACTTGATGCAGCAAAAGCTAAGCAGTTTAAGGATGCAATTGATAATTCATACTGGTTTGAATTTTTTATGGGTATGTTCAACAAGGTTTTTGCACTTACAAAATTTCTGATTAAGCTTATTACACACACACGCACACACACATGACACATATATATCCGTATAATTTTATGTACATATTCAGTACCTTTTTGTACTTCTATAACCTTTGTTGTTTTTGTGTACCCTTGCTTATTGCTTGTGATCAGATGACCTGCCGTTGTGGGGTAAGTATCTGACTTTATCTTATAGTTTACTTTATTGTTGTGCTATCAGCTATTTTGAACTTTTATTCAACTGTGAACCATGTGCATAGGTTTTGTTGGTGAGGTTCTTCCTGATAGAAACCGTGATAATAAGCATGTGCTATGGACACACAAGAATCTTGTCATCAATTACAATGGGAACCAGGTTGACTAGAACAAAGATTATTTACACACTTATTCATTCCAGCAACCAAATGTAAGATGATTGTTCATTTTGAACTGATAGAATGTGCACTTGCAGATTATTCATGTCAATCTCACTCAAGATAACCCTAAGCCACTTGAAGAGGGACGAGTGCTGGATATGACATACTCCGTCAAATGGGTTCCAACGAACATTACATTTGCGCGCCGTTTCGATGTTTATTTGGATTATCCGTTTTTTGAGCACCAGGTGTGTTTTCCTCAATGGTGCATAGTTTTGCAGTGAATATGTTCCTGTTAGCTGATCCATGTTTGGAACTACTTGTTTGTTTACTTTTGAATTTTGATTCCCGTGTACTAGTTAATATTCTTTAAATATGCCGACAATATTTTGATGAAAGTCTCAAAGCTGATATCTGGAAGTTATTGCCAAAATTTGTGTGCCATTATTTTCCCAGCCAGCTTATCCGAGCATTTTCTTTTTGCAGATCCACTGGTTTTCTGTCTTTAATTCTTTCATGATGGTAATTTTCCTTACTGGATTGGTGTCAATGATATTAATGCGAACTCTGCGCAATGACTATGCCAAATATGCCCGGGAAGATGATGATCTCGAGACTCTGGTAATGATTGTGAATTTTCTTGTCTTAAAATTCACACTATACTGATGTTTGTTTATTACATACTGGAAGCTTGATCAATTAAATTAATCAGTAGGAACGGGATGTAAGCGAAGAATCTGGTTGGAAACTTGTCCACGGTGATGTGTTCCGGTCTCCCCATAATTTGGCTCTGCTATCAGCAGTTGTCGGCACTGGCGCTCAGCTGGCCACACTTGTTTTGCTCGTCATTATTTTAGCAATTGTGGGAATGCTTTACATAGGGTATGCTGTGACCACTTACATATTCATTGTAGTTTGCAAACTTTTAATTTTAATATTATAATCACTGATCACCTCGAACAGAAGATGTATAGGTTAACTGTGAGTTGCTTAGTTGCAACATGTTTTCTCAATGACCTTACTTCGCACTGAAAGAGTACCTAATAGTTTGAATGGTGCAATGACTTGCATGCTCTGGCCTTTCTGGATCATTATGGGGAATGAATATGGATGAAATTGAGAAGTAGTGCAGCATGAGAACAATTGAATTTCTGCATTCCACAGAGTTACGAATTCTTGTTTTAAACATATTTTTCTTGATTTTTGGGTGTACTACACTGGAAATATGTTATTCATCATCCATTACATTTTCGTGAAGTATTTTGCCTTTGATATATTAGGCAACCAACCTCCTCTAGACGGTATTGGTTCCATTATCTGAATTGAAATAGTTACAGTCTTTATTAGTTGGCCTCTTACACGTTGGAATTCATTCAGTTCTGTCTGTTTTCATATTTTTGTCTGATAAAATTTTGGAACCTTTTTTGCACTTAATTGCGTAAATAATATAAATTTACCATATGAGGCGTGAGCACGTGTTCGTGATTCTGCTTCGCTGCTGAAGGGTATTACTTTTTCTTCAGTGTTCTTATTCAACTTGATTCTTTTCTAACTTCTACCCTCTCCATATTGTTTGATCCAGGAGAGGAGCAATTGTCACCACCTTCATCGTATGCTATGCTTTAACCTCGTTTATTGCTGGTTACATCAGCGGTGGCATGTATTCCCGCAATGGTGGTATGTATCATTTCTTGCTAACTTTTACTTGTTCAACCCTTTATCTTATGATGTGTACTATTATTTCAAATCTTTTTGTGAATCATCTAAGTGGTGATAATAACTTCTGTTGCCTCTTGTTAGGTAAGAAATGGATTAAGTCAATGATCCTCACTGCCTCACTCTTCCCATTCTTGTGCTTTGGAATTGGCTTCATCCTTAACACAGTTGCTATATTTTATGGTTCACTGGCCGCCATCCCTTTTGGTACTATGGTGGTTATTTTTGTCATATGGGCCTTTATTTCATTCCCCTTGGCTCTTCTTGGCACCGTTGTTGGAAGAAACTGGAGTGGCACCCCAAACAATCCTTGCCGAGTGAAGACAATCCCTCGTCCAATTCCCGAGAAGAAATGGTACCTCACGCCATCCGTTATCTCTCTCATGGGGGGTCTGCTTCCTTTTGGAAGCATCTTTATCGAGATGTATTTTGTCTTCACCTCTTTTTGGAATTACAAGGTAATTTTAACTCTTAGGGCGTACTTGTTTACAAATAAATCCGCACAAAATGAGTTTTATTGGTTAACTAGGGTTAGTTTTGAATAATGTGGTATGGTTAGTTGTTAGTGGAATTTTAAGTTTATATTAAAATGTATTTACAATAAAATAATTAAATTTGATTTGATAAAATTAGGAGAAGAAGTGATGTGAAGTGATGGTTAGTTAAAATTATGTGAGTGGATGAATAGTGAATTAAAGTTGATGTGAGGTGTAAGAATGATTGGTTTCTATTAAATATATTGATAATATTAAGGATAGTGGAGTTGAGTTAAAGTTGAGTTAAATTTTGAGTATGAATTGGATGTGAAATGAAATATTTGGTAAACATACATGCCCTTAGTTTTCAGCGTTCATTGTTATGCTTTGCCAGAGACATTTCAAAATGTGCATTAAAGTTTGAAAATCAGTATTTGTTGAATTATTGTGATATTTTGATTTTTGCCATTCCTCATTTGGTTCACGTGTTGATAGGTTTACTATGTGTACGGCTTCATGCTTCTCGTCTTTGTGATTCTGATCATTGTCACCGTTTGCGTGACAATCGTGGGCACATATTTCTTGCTGAATGCCGAGAACTACCACTGGCAGTGGACTTCGTTTTTCTCCGCTGCCTCAACTGCTCTATATGTATACTCCTATTCGGTATATTACTATCATGTCAAGACCAAGATGTCGGGCTTCTTCCAGACCAGCTTCTATTTTGGATACACTTTGATGTTTTGTCTTGGTCTTGGAATACTATGTGGTAAGTCTGCTTTGCACTTTCCTCGACTTTTAAAGAGTACGGGAACTATTCTTCATCCATTTATCATTTGGTCTGCAAATTGTACTAATTTTCACTACAAACTTGCAGGTGCGGTTGGATTTCTGGGCTCTAACTTATTTGTCAGGAGAATTTACAAGAACATCAAGTGCGACTAGATTTCTATAATACATACGTGAAGTACTTTGGTTTGATTGTTGGATCATAAGTTGAATGTGACGATGGGGAAACGAGGAAAGAGAGCCTGAGAAGACGAGTCGAATCTTTTTGTAGCAGTGGATTCATTAATGTTACAGCTTTTGGCTATAGAGATTTGGGATTGTTAATTAGAAATAACTACATTTTGCATACTCCCATTAACATAAAAATATTTGTAGTTGTAAATCTCGTGCCTTATAGGGCATTTGTCACCTGACTCGCTATATTAACTCGGACTCTGATGATTCTTGATTTTTTCGTCCTGACTGAGTTCGAGCATAAAAACTAAAACTTGACTGGATTTATTTCCTTTTCTGTTTAGTGGTTTGTTTTCATTTTAGTTCCTTTCGTTTTATTTCATTTTTCTTTACCAGGTATTGATTATTGTATTATGATTTTAACTATTATCTTCAAGTTTTGACCAAGTCCTCTAACAAAATGAAGGTGGTGCAAAAAATAAAAGAATGAAAGTAGTATAAAGAAGGAA